GGTGACCACTATCCCGAGATCCCCAGCCAGGGAGCCTAACCGGGCCTATGTGACCTAGTCTACTGGTTAGGGTTTTCATGCCCTCATGCCAGGTCTTCGTTTGGTGAAGTTGGTAATCAATCAGTGTTCCGTTTTAGCGAATAGCCCTTCTTAAGGGCAGTTTGCAATGCTTTGTAATTATATTAGATCCGTATGGGAATGTTTGGACTAGCCTCAACGAGAGAAAACCAAAAAGAACTTTTTTCGGTTGACAACGTTTCGATCATCTATGGACTTCGAAAAACCGATTATTCTGAAACAAGATTTCAGGTTATATAGAGAACGTTTAATTACTGAGTCATTGTTCATCAATAGCGATCCACTTTGCGTCATTCGATCGGACGGGACCCAATTATCAGTTCACTGACTTAATGCCAGTTGCACAAACAATGGCTCGCACACACCCTTTTTGCTCACTAACAAACAAGATTTATTCTAGCCGCACCACAAAACTACTTACAGACTAATCTCTGATCTTCTATGACGTCATCATTAGCTCTTTGACCCCTTACTTCATTCACAGCCTCCATGATCTCATTTATTACCTCGCACACACCAACTCAATTGTTCCTCCCCCTAGACCAATCAAAAGCACCTCCAGTTGATACGGTTTCTCTCGTAATTGTTGTTTAATGTTCGCCTGTNTTGAAAAAGCCCTCCAAGAGGATCGAAACGTCTTCAACCGAAAATTGTTGTTTTTTGGTTTTCTCTCGTTGTGGCTAATCCAAACGTTCCTATACTGATCGAATACTACGAGCACGACACACAAGTTATTCAAAGACATCCGTTCCAACTTTGGGTGTGATACTTTGTGATTATAATTTTCGATTCCGCAAGACACTACAAATCTACCTTAATAAAAAATAAACTTACTTTTCTGGGCGTACAGTCTCATTCCGATGAAACATCCATGCTCACTCTGTCCGCTGGGTTTATTTTCTGCTTCCTTGCTTTCAAACTTTGAACACCATGCTAAGAATTAGATAACATACAAATCACATTGGATGATTTTTATACCGGCTGTTATCAGTCCGGTAACTGAGGTCTTAAAGTTGCGCAAAATGTACCCAGTCTTCACTTTCCTCTGAATCCGTACTGAAAATAAATCCATCCAATGGAAGTACAAATTTAGAATTCGATGAATCGTAAACCTTTCATTCCAAACTAATAATAATCGCTTATGACTCGGAGCACGATTTACTTTCCCGCATTCAGTTGACCGCTTCATGACTAAGTTCAATACCTGCGTGGGATGTACAGTAAACCACACTCAATTGCATGTTCTGAAAACTATCCTGAGGATTTCCTCAGTATTTTCCAACACAACGCGGACGTAGTAGTTCTACGTTCAGATCTACATGGTGAGAATGCTAAATCCATCTGCTACCTGTTCTTGAGGAACAAACTGGACATTTTCCCCAGCCAGTCATACAGCATTGTTCTCTGTACCTCTCTCTCTCTATTCCGAATCACACGGTCATCAGAACCGAGTATATTCGTCCAATACTAGGAGCGAACAACTAAATGACCCCTGTGCAAATATAAGTATCGGTTTGGCCATTTCGAGTGGTTCAGACCATGTTCCTTTTCTGTTATTTCTTTATCTTTCAGGGGATGAAAGCTATCGAGAAATTGAAACCGGATGAATTCACAGCCTATCTTCAACAATACAGTAATACAATATGTGGTCGGCGTGGAATCAGCGTGCTCCTGAACGCAGTTCAAACGTTACGGGACCGCGGTCAGGGATATTGGCAAATGCAATTTCTCAAGTACGCTCAATCCTCGCATTGCGAATCGATGAACGATTCCTCGGTGAGCTACGCTGCCGGAGCTCTGACGGTGAATTAAACCGAACCCCAACCAGAACTGTTGGGTTCTCCACATCGTATTTGTTTTCACCTGTTCGTTGTTCTGATCCAATTTGTGATCCGTGCCTCTAGTTCTTTGGCGATGCCATTCCGTGTCCGAGAACCACAATGTGACAATGTGACGATTCTTGTGATTTTCGGATCGCATGTAGGAATCATGTGCATTTGTGGGATGTGGTCCTCGATAATTTCAGTGAAACACTTGAAATAGATATTTCTGAACGAGTGCAAATTGATCGATCATATTCTTGTGCTCAAGTGCATTGGGTTCGGAAACAACTACTTTTCTGTACAAGCTACGTCACACCTTTTAGGTACAGCCAGTTCCGATTATGCCCATGAAGAGATAGAGAGGCGGACAAACCAGAGCGAAACCAAACTATTGAGTTCAGTACAAAATACCGTTCTACTCTCAACACAAAGGAAATAAAATACCGGCACAAGTAGAACACCGGAAGAGCAAAGGTAACAGCTTACTTCAGCTATTCAAAAGAGAGGGAGGGTTTGGTTCCTGTTCACTGACGAAGAGTGAGAAGCATTCTCATGGGAAACCAGTTAACTAGGAATACGCAAACGAGTTGGCAACAATGAAACACAACTGGATAAAGATCAGAGCATCGCACTAGACTACAGCTCATTGCTAGTAATCCTCATGCAAACGTATCATTCACCGCTGCAGAGAGAAAATGGTAGAGGGAGAAAGCTGGTCATTGGGATTCTATCGAATACCTCCGAAATAGATAAAATATGAAATGATCAGCACAATGGCTTAAAGGTTAAATGGATGATGGGTAAACTGATGAACAGGTAGATAGGCATATCAAGTAGGACGCTAGAGCGGGATAAAAGGTACCATGATTTTAGCAGTTCATCGAGGCGCGCGCTGGGGGCAGCAAATTTATCGCTATCGATAGTTTCATAGACAGATTTATAGTCGTTAGCCAATGATAGATTCCGCGAGACTCTCCTACAAAGGCTGTTGCAGTTCGTTAGGCAATTTGCCATTTTCGATGACAGATACCAATACGAAAGCTCTCCAGGTTATTCTAATTGCGAGCCAACAATGGTTTTGTTGTCGCAACGGAGTTTACCAGAAGTGGAACGCTGGATGCTCTTGATCCTCAAAACAATGAACCCTCGGCCTATAATTTGAACTGCAAGGGTATATATTCATATAACTTCACACTTCTGAACCCAGACTGTATGCCAAAAATTTTTTACAATAATCTTTGTGAAAAAGAAAAGCGCCCCATCATTTGCCTGTGGGCGGAATATTGCCAGGTTGCCCAGTCCAAGGCAGGTGAATTTTCTTAAGGAATCTACAACCGAAGCCTTCGGCTAGCCAAATTTTTGATACGCAAAGCAACGGGATGGTGTGTGAACACCGCATTCCGTTGGTGGCCGGTGTCCAGTTCATCGGACCATACACCCTTCGGACAGGGTCAAACGTCCACGGTGCCCAATACACCTTGATATCCAAACGAGCCGGTGACCGCTGCCACAGCCGGGAAGGTGTGGGTGGTTCGTACGCCTCCTTATGGTTGGTTTGTAATCAGGATTTTGGCCAACTGCTCTAGGTGAACTAACACCTAGTGTTCCCCTAACCCGGGTATTGGCTTTTCGTCCTCTCACTTTGGTGGGAAAAGACCGCGACGAGAAGGCTTCCTCAGCAGAAGCTATTCGAGACGCTCGGTCGTATGTAACCATTTCGCGAGGTGCAAGGGGAGGGTGACCAGCCGCAGCCCTAAACGCACACCCCCGACCATACTGAGACTTCTAAAGGCCAGCTACAAGGATAATTGAGAATTGTGAAGCAGGACAGAAACCGATTTAGTTTTACACCTGTTCTAAAGAAAATAACCCATGCGCTCTACGCAGTAAATGCTACTGTTTCATGCATGTAGCCGAACTAATGAACGAGTACGGTTCGCTTCCGCAGCGAAAGTAAACGTTACGTAGTTTCTCGAACCTCTGGTCCGTTTGCGATACCAAGAGTGTGAATACATCTTCTGGACCACGTGAATAAGGTTGGTGAGGATGCACTCAGCTGAATTCACCTCGTGCTCCAAATAATGTACAGGAGAGTAGAGGTTTAGTTGAAGTAAATGGTGTTATTCTGGTGAATTTACAACCGTTACATGTTTTGGTCGCAGGTGACCTGTTCCACTGCTGTTCTTGTTGCTGTACTGTGTATGCCCAGGGGGCAGCTGACTGTGTGGTAAAACAGGTGTTGTCGCGTTGAACATGTGAAATTTCTTCCGTCAGTTCATTTCCTCTTACGTGGGTTAAATTAGGAAACGCTCTGTGCACCCAAAGGTTACATTTTCAGCAATTCACTATCTTGTTAGGTGAATATGCAAAACACTACAGAAAATGAATGCGATATAGCTATAAAGGGAAAAAGTAATGCAAGATTATTTTCAGTCTTTCGATTAACCGAGAGCAAGGTATGGAATTTCACTGTTTCTGCATGTGGAAGTACGCATATTTGGAGCGAGTTTGGGAATTCGACACGATGTACATGATTTTCACGATATAGACGGTGCTGTTGATTACGTAGTGCTTGTCAATGAACGTGTCACGAGTGTCAAAATGCTTGGAAATAAAACAACTATAATCGGAACAAAACTTTAAGGGATAATCGGGAAAATAAGGTGATTTTCTTCTTTTAAACCAAGGATACATCTCGGGGAGCAGTACAGACAGTGTGGAAGGATACAGAGAATCACGAGTTTAAGAATAAGGTCATGTGAAACAGCCAGTTTCCCGATCCTGTAGGCGTAACACGACGGTCTTCGAAGTTCTGTAAACACGCTAACAACAGACCAGGACAAGTTATGGGGGTGGTGACACCGAGTTATGTAACAAAATCCGATGTGGGGATACTTTGATTATTAACGATAGGATCAGAGATATTGCTTACTAATACGCGATAACGGAGGCCGGTTCTAAGACTAAAGGGAACATTAATTCACTTATTGGCGTTGAGTATAAGAGATTGGGCTACAAACCAGCCGTGAAGTTCATTAAGGCTCTCCTGCGGATGCCGAAAACTATATGGACTAGAGGATGGTAACACAATCACAATATCATCAGCATGCTTGCAGATAATCAAGTTACCAGTAATGTGAAAAAAATGAAGGGGCCAAAATAGAATCCTGAAAACAAGAACTGATGTTAATGGAAGACGATTTTATGCCATAAAACGAATTAAACTGGGTCCTACGGGAGACGGTCGATCAGAACATTTTAAATTTCAGGTAGCAGGTCACACTCAGAAAGACCTTTGGTATGCACTGTTCAGTCGAGAGAACCAAAGGCGTTGGCATAACAAAGAAAACTCAAACGAACGACATCTGCACCTTTGTCTAAGACGAATGCAAGTGAGTGAACAGTATGGGCAACAGAGCCTAATGTGGACAGACGGGATTTGTAGGCAAACTGTAATGGTTCGTGAGAAATACACAAGGGTGTCATGTGGTGCGATAAAACATTTTCAAAGATTTCAACAACTGATATTCCGTTCAGGCGTCCTACTTCACTTCCAATGAGAACAGATGGTTCTTTTAAACTGTAACGCCAACCGGTCATGTAAACCGTCTCTTTTTAGCACGATGGAATCACTCAAGGACGGGACAAACTATCAATTCAAATATAAACACGGCAACATTGTTTATGACAGAAATAAGATGTTCGCAAGACAAAGATAGCTGATTATTGGAAAACGGAGGAGTCGGTAGAAGAGAATAAGACCGTGATTCTGTCCAAGTTTTCAGAGGAATAATTTATCTTAACTTTAGTAGGATAGGCCGGTCGAGGCTGAAAGTAACGGTTACTTTTGCAGTATATCTTCTACTGGAGTAGTCAGAAGTGCCAACTGGAGCTCGTTTAAACAACGTGAAACAAATTAGAACTATTCACATATATATCACCAAGATAAACAGTAGTCTGGGTGGGATAAATTACAAGGTTCAGTAAACCTAGAGTAGTTCTGATGGAAGTATTGAAACGAGTAAAGTCGACAGGGGAAAATGCACATAGATTGATCGCTGCAAGTGGTAAATGGTGTTGTTGATACATTATCGGATAAAAATGTCACGTCAGGGGTAATATATATTCAGAAAGTGAATAAAACAAAATCTGATGAGAAAGTGGCGCTTAGAGCAAACGAAAGTGTAATTAATTTCGCCGGTTCAGAAATTAAACTTTAACTGAGTCTTGGCACATCAACTTCGGTGGACGAAAATGATCACCCCTCTATCTCTCTTGTAGAACTTCAATCTGATCGCTCCTGAAAACATCAAAACTATCCGCTCCAACGACCTGGGCCACAATGTCCGGGTGTAACCAACTTTCCCTGGGCAAAACGATACCCACATTTTGTATTGTATCTTCTGCCCCAGATTCTGGACATTATCTATTTTTCCCACGAATGAGTGAACGTTACATGGAAAAAAATCAAGGAAATTGTCATCCTGATGCGGGAATTTCGCCTCAGTGCAATCCGTTAGTCAGCACGATGCTCCTTATGGTAATATGAAGCGATTGCTCACGAAATGAGCAAAAGCCGAAGTTCGGACGTCTGACGCGAATGTACAGTACGGGAGATTGTACAATTTACAATTTGTAGATATTACACATCCCAGGTCCGATTGTCAAGCGGGGGAAAGAAACTCCTAAGCCTCCCGATCCACTTCAGAGGCGGTGAGATAGCACATGTAGTTCAGATACTAAAAACCATACATTTTCAAGTGAAACCGATGAAATTTCAGGTGAATCCACCAGTCGCGTTCTATCGGTAACCACACTTAAAGATTAATGCTTAGTCCGTCAAATGTCACAATGTCCGGCCAATGGGAATACGCAGGTTTCTCTATAAAAAATAAAGACACCCATCAAATGGGTCACCAAATCGGCATAGAAGTTTCCGTGTGATTGGGGTCTGACTAGTCATGCCGTTGATCGCGTGGTCTTCAGACG